ATGCTCCAGCACCAACCCAGGCAGGGCCAGGGGGCCAAGGAAGTGTCCCACAAACCTCTCCTCACTCCTGCTGCCCACAAGAGCCTGAGTGATCCACATCATCCCACCATTTAGTGAACTGGTCTCCCTGGGGTTACACCCACAAATTGTAACTGGCTGCAGCCATCACGCATCAGCCTTGTCCAGGCTCCAGTGTCTTCTCACTCCTCTCTGGTGTTGTTCTGTTGCAGAAGATCAGCAACGGGATCCCCCTTCCTCCTGCCCAGGTGCCTCCCAGCCGCCTGCATGTGAAGCAGAAGCCAGGTAGTCCCTGGACCACCTCAGTGGGTGAAACTGTGCCCAAACCCACCCTTCAGGGGGTCGTGGGGAGGCTGAGGATCCCCTGTCTGTGTGTTGAAGCTTCCAGCAGCCTCTGCTGACTGCAGGGCTGTTCCTCTGCTCTTGTTCTGTTCTGCAGAGCCTCCTGGGGGAGAAAATGCCTTTGCCAGTGATGCTGGTGCCCAGATGGACTCCAAGGTGAGGTGTTCCACCAGCTGAAGCTGGTACAGCCTCAAGACACTACGGCTGCAAAAAGGGCAAGATTCCTGCCCAGACCCTCCAAAATTCCTGAGCTGCTCCAAAATCATGGAAAAAATGTCCTTCCTCTGACCTCTTTCTCATTCGAAAGAGAGGCTCCCATGTGGTCTTTGCTCCTCCACTCCCAGGTTTGTGACCATCCTACTTTGTGAGGCAGTCCAGGGCTGAGGTTTACAAGGCACCGACCTGTTGCCACCCTCCAAGGTGCTAAGAGCCCCAGACACATTGCTGTTGTCATACACACTCTTTGCAAGGGAGAGCTGTCTTTGAACTCCCTGCTGTCTCTTCCCCCTTCTGCCGTGTGCCATTCTCTGTCCCTGTCAGTCTGGGTACCACAGTTCATTCATATTTGCATTCTGGGATGAGGCACCTCCATGTCATTGCCAACTTCTGTGTGTGATGGCCCTGCAATCGCTCCTCTGTCCACCTGGGGGCAGAACCTCTGTCCCCCAGCTGCAGGTCAGCTCTGCCACCCCTCTTTGAAGGACATTTGGAGTAGCTTTGTCAGCTGTACTTCAGCCAGAAGGCAGCACAAAGTGGGAATGTGGCTGCTTCTCTCCAGCTGACTGGAGGAATTGGGATCCTACTCGTATAATTTTTGGGTTGGGAGATACCTGTGCAATCAGACCCAGAAACAGGTTTCCTGAGTCATTGGAGGAACATTTGATTCCAGGCTTTGAATCCATAGTTACCCCTCTGAAATTCAGATCTGCCTTTTGATGATGCTCTACCATGACATGGCAGCACAGAGACGAGAGGTTGTGTCTGTGTCACCTCTTGGATATGAGAGCCGACATAGTCAGTCGAGGTTCTTCTTAGTCCATGGACTTCAGTCAGTCCAGGCTCTTCCAGAGGGTGGTTGGTCACTGAACAGGCTCCCCACGGCAGTGGCCATGGCCCCAAGAGGGACAGGGTGGGACTGTTGGGGTGTCTGCAGGGCCAGGGGTTGGACTGGATAATCCTTGGGGGTCCCTCCCAGCTCAGGACATTCTGTGATTCTGCAGTCTGACTGACCAGCCTGACTACAGTGCCACATCTCTCAGCAGATCCCCCAGAGCCACGGAGAGGCCTCCCCGGGCTCAGCCAGGCCGGTGGTGCTGCGGGCATGCTGCGAGTGCTCGGTGGTGCTGCGGGCGGGCCAGGCACCGGCCCTGCCGGCCCT